TAATCCCCATATTCCCTGTTCGGGAAATATATAATTTTAAAAATTATGCGGATGCGTATTGGGCCATTCCAAAAAAATAATTAAATATCCTAAAGGAGAGATATAAAAGTTAGACGAAGTGTTATGGGGACGCCGCCTCCAGCCTTCTGGTTAAAGCTCAACAAAAGCCGGAGATGAATCTCGAGCATAAATCGCTAGCACTGTAATATGCCGTTTTTCCTGGTTTTCTTCTCATAACTTTCTCTATTTTGATTGAAGGAAAGGGAGAAAGTTGTAGATCTTTAGCCCCCTCTTCCCAAATCCCACTGCCACGGGGAGTAGATATAGCTCTTGCATAAAAACTAGTAACGTACAAAACTCGATTAATCTTCTCGTTTTTTTGTAATTTACGTCCATTCCATACAAGAAATATGGAAAACACTGCTGAAAATTGCAGAGCTTTTACACTTTTTAAGAAGCATTCTTACGTTCCGCTATTCTAGAGACGTGTCTGTAAAGACCCCTGATTCGGACTAGCCCCCGCGACGAACTAAAAATTTAAAATTGGTATTGGTTCCCACAGTTACCGTAAATTGTATAGAACTTTTCATAAAGGCAATTAAAATAAACCCTGGAACTGTATCAATTTTTTTGTACTAATTTTAGTAACTACAAATTTATGTGTGTTACTCGTTCACTCTTGGCCTAGTAAAGTTAGGAGCAAATATATACAGGAATAAGCGCTAACGACAAATGGAGATGAAAAATGAAGAGGCACACTGCTAAAAAGATGCTGAAAGTCTTCTCTGGGAAGAGGCAACAGCCAAAAAATTTTCCAAAACACTGGTTTGAGCATATTTCTAAAGTAATGAACACAGAATTAAAAGAAAAGAATTCAGAAACTGTAAGCCCGAAGGAAAGTTCACTGTAGATGCCCCTGAACGAGGCAGGTTTGGTGGAGAGAAACAAAGAAGAGTATTTTTAAAGAATAGTATGAAGTGCTGAGTTGAGTAGGACATCCAACCAAATGTGTGATACGTGTTTTTCTGACTCTAAGGCAGGCAATTATAAAACCTGCTCGAAAAGAACGAACAAACAGATGAACAGAGTGAGTGATCAGTTTTCTCAGGCTTCTTGTTAAATTTTGATAAAATTTTAAGTTGCAAGGGCAGGAAGTGTGGACAAAGGCTTTGAATTAGTAGCTGTTCGAAATGAGCTAGACTTCAAGCTTGCATTAAGTATAAAACATAGCACTTGCCAAGTAATGATAAGGAGTACTATAGACGCTACCTCGCTTAAGCGTACCCACGTTTTTTTACCTATAACTTGCCTTCATTTTTCTAAAAAAATAATGCAAAGTTTCATTTTAACTCTTGTTGGGTTCCCTAAAGCTACTATCCTGATGCTGGATTCAGTTCTTGCTTTTCTGCTCATATTCCTCACGCTGTAGCAGTGCTTGGTTTGACAGCACTCCATGAAGCAGAAATTTATCATGAGAACGGAGAACAAATCCTAACCAGAATGCTCTCAGAAACTGTGGTGCATATAAAACGTGAAGACTTTTTGCTACATGTGTGTACATTATTTTTGAGAAAATCTTCCCGGATAACTCTTTTGCTTTATCCATGCAATAAACTGATCATTTCCATATACAGAGCTAAACGCTCACGATAACATGGTTTTGGATAGTTTTGAGATGACCAGACAACGTTCAAGAAAATTGGGAACCATGATTAAGAGGCTTTTAAGAACTGCGGGTTTGAGCCATCAAGATTTCGAAGACTGCACTTACGAAACGTATTCCCTGTCCATTAAACACCATACCAATAAAGATGTGGTACTTTAAAACGACATAAGATATGAAACAAAACTACAGCGTTGGTTACTTAAAAAGGTAGGAGGCATATAGAAAAGCCTGAAATTTCTTAAATATCGTGGAAGCGAGACTATAAACTCAATACGTTAAAATAGCAGGTAGGTTGTTGTTTAAAAAAAATCATGTATGAAGGCGAATACAATTAATGCAGTGGTGTTACCAATAAATCCAAAGGCCTTTTCTAATTTAGTGGCGCTATACAAAGTCCATGATTGAACATAGCAACAAATCTTGCAGCTAATTAGCCAAATAAAAGTTAACTTCTTAACTTGCAGACGCCTGTCGACATGAACCCAGGACAGAAGCCTTTGCGGGATACATCTCTTCCGGTTAAAATGCTGGGAGGTTGCACTCTACACTATTTTCCACCGGTCTTTTCTGCATTCTCAGAAGCACCTTTCGGCTCTTCCCTCTCACACCTAAGACGCTGACTGCGGTCAGTAAAGACCATTGGGAAGCGACTATTAAAGAAGCGTCGTTGTGTATCAAGCTAGGGAAGTGGGCAATCCGTCAAAACCCTACCTCACGAACTCCAGTAACATCTTTCAGGACAAGTTATATCACCAAAGAGTGGCAATACATCCCTCTTGACTGCAAAAACATCAGATTCATTATGCTCAGAGGCCCAGAACTGCAGAAGATTCAGCTGTGTAGTTTTTATGTCCAGGATCTAAAACAAGTTGACAGTAAGTCCTTGTCAACATGGAATCCGCCGTAGCGGGAATTGAGTATCTGAATCCCCTTGGAACTGAGCCAAAAATTGAGTACCAAGCCGAGAATCTCATCAAATAAGTTGCATTTACATAGTATATATAGATAGTATTCATACTTTGTGACTGTGTAGCTTTGAGTTCAGTTTCCTCCACCGTTTATCTGCTTTCTTTCAGAGATTCTTCTTGCCGTGATAACATTTAGTTTATCAGCATTCGTAACTCGTATCTACTAGCGAAAAAAGTGAACGAATAACTTCTGATCAAAAACGATTGCAAAATTTTTCTTCAAAGTAGTTTTATAATTTATGGATAGCAGGTAAAACAGATAATCTTTCTTGGTAAGCAAATATGTACGTGTTTTGGGAGGTTTATTTTAATAGTTCCATTGTTTGCCTTATATAGTCGATCAGTAATTCCTGCGTACACAGATAAAGGAGCCTGGCTGTGTAAATATTTTTGAACTGGTCAAAAAGTAGTGGAAAAGTGTGGGAAGCTTGGAAAAGAAGTCTGTTTTTATACCTTTTGGTTTGAACATTTTTTAGGATTCCTGTCACAAAAAAAGTTTTAGTGTACTTGTTGCAGTTCATCATTAGAGTGATATTGTGAAGCTGCTTACGAGAAAGAAAGGTGATTTAAGGCTAGGTCCTTGGGAACTAAAAAGTAGTGAGGCATTCCTGAAATTGCAACTGAAACAGGCGGTTTAAATTTAATTATAGAAAACTGATGGAGTTTACTAGTTAAAAGTATTTTGTTTGAGCTGCACAGGCTTGGTTGCTTTTTGGCAATTAATTTGCTGTTATAATACTCCTTTAAGAAAAAGTACAGTGCTGCATTCCACAGAAGTAGTGATAAAGCCAGTTGTGGGGTGAATGCTGATTACTCATTCGCCTGTACTCGCTCGTTGATCTTTGGGTTAATGTTCTCTGGTGGAAATAAGTTGGTTTTATTATCTGTGGACGTAATTACAAATTTCAAGTTTTATAGGTTCTCCAATTTCTGCACAAATCGTCCCGAATGTCTGACTGTGAAACCTATCTGGTTCGTTTTTCCTCTGGTAGTTTAATTTTCCAATTCATTAGTAGATGATTTGTTTCCATGATACTCCATTGTTGTTCGTACTAGTTTCCTCTGAGACTCGGATGAAAATTTTTTGGCGGACGTTTCAGGTTGAGAAAATTGTTGGTTACCGAGTACAAGATGGCAAAGAACTATATAGAGTTCGTTGGGCTGGATTTAATGAGGAAGATGATACTTGGGAACCCTATGAAAACCTTAATGATGCATGCCGTTTAATGATAAAAGATATGTTTGGTCGTTTTCCTGATGATCTGAAGTTGGACAGCTGTAAACAGGTAAGGTTTTTGGCAAATTTTAGGTCTCTTTTTAGCTTCCTAAACGATATTTTGAGATAGGCTCAGCATAAGTGTAATACAATTTTTGTACAACACGTCGTTTTTTTATAACTCAAAGAATTGTTGCACTGTATGTAAAGGTCTTCCTCAACCTAATATTGTTTGTGTTAATTTTTTCCAAATTATTCTCCAACGCGTTCTGCAACTTTTGAGCAACATTAATTATTCAGTTTATTCCTAGCATAAAATTGCGCGCACTATTGTGGTCAAATCAGATGAATTTCAAGGGTTTGCCGAGTAAAAATATTGAGTACACTGACCCGGACTACATTGGGAATAATCAGACGGTCGTAACCAGGGGTAGGTCCAGCTGTGCTAGAAAATCACTAGCAAAGACTAAGGTGCAGTTATCTGGAAGTCATGATGGTTGTCTTCAAGGACGCACCTTAAGAATTTTGTATATATCGTAAGAAAATGAGTCTTTTTAGAAGTCATCCAGTGTTAAACGTGGCGAGGTTGTTGGGAAAACTGAGGGGAAAGCTGGTAAAGTTGGAAGTGTCAAAAGAAAGCAACGGCTACAAACGGAAAAGTTGCGACGGTGCATCAGGGTAATGCGAGTTTGAAAAAGAAATTTTTAAATTTTATTCTCATAATGCACATCATTAAATTTTCACGTTTTCTGAAGCTCCTGGAGGAGTGAATTTGACATAAGCTTTTGACTACGTCTAACGGTAGTTCTTTTGAATTTCTGGGAACTAAAATGGATTGGTCGAGCTGTCGTTTTAGAGCCACGTAAAAATTGCCAATGGGAAGATTGAACCATGTCAAATCTGTGATCGCTTTCCGAAGCAAAAGTGTTTCTCAGTCTTAAAGTCTGAAGGTAAAGCGAAGCCCCTGAGGGATATTCATGGGCATAGTGTGACAGAGAGTCGTGGTGAAGAACTTCATCCTCAAAGTGAGCCTTTGGAAAAAACAGTCTTAGAGGTGATTGAAACTCAAGACGAAGGGCCTCCAAACCAGAGTGCTGAGCCGGAAATCGCTGTCGGGAGGAATAGTTCTGCGTCGAAAAAAAGTATGCTGGAGAATTTATTAAAGAACTAGCTCAGTTTTAGCTTTAATACTCTCAGGTGCTGAAGAAAGTGAAAGGAGAAGGATGAACGAGGGTGACAGCAGTAATTCAGTAGTAGATGACCGCTCGAAAATGGAAGACGAGTTCATACCTGATGGTTACGCTAAACTCCCTGTAAACAAAATTGTTGGTCTGAAGCTTGAAGAATTAGAGATGGCTATATTCATGAGTAAAGAATCTGTTTACGCCGCTGAGTTGACAAATTTTCAAGTAACCGGAATTGTTTATGTTATAATGCTCCTCTCTACCCTTTCTCTGTATTGTTTTAAGTGCGCTTTAATTAGTTTATTGTTATGGTGTATTTTATGTAAATGTTATCTAAA